AGATACCTATGACTTTGTAGAATCCAGGGAGCAAGGCTGCACCTGGTAGAGGCATCTCACCTAGGTGTACTCTTTGGTAGCAGCCCAAGCTTCTACTAGATTCTCAGATTTTATTATTTCAATTTGAGGGGGAAATCATTCCAGTACATATCAGCCCATAGAAAAGTCAGAAAGGGAGAGTTGTGCCAGTGCTAAATCAAAACTGATTTGGTCACCTCCCTAGAGCCCTCTAGGCTCAGACAGGAGAAATAGAATTTACCTTCAAGCCTTATAGATCCAAGAGGCTAGATTATTTAGAGATAAGATCCTGAGATAGGAAAGACTTTGAACTCAAATATTGTGAATCAGTTGGTTTCCTTAGTTTTTTTTATTCATATATTTGGATGTGTTGTTTTTTTAAGGATACAGAATTGACCTCTGTCTCTTGGAGCTTATCAAACATTTTGGACACTGCTCCTTGGGGGTAGAATAAAATGAATGTTCGTATCCATCACAGGAGTGGGGTGGATTAGAAGGGCCTTAGGAAAAAGAGAAAGGCAAAGAGAAGGTGCCAACAATTCCTGCTTAGCCAACATATCCACTTACCATATTTCTAATAGTGGGGTCACGCTCTACATCAGTGGGCCTCTTGACAAATTTTAAACATGGTGAAGCTTTTGGGGCAGTTCATAGAGTTAAGCAATGCAACATCCACGTCTGGATCCAGGATAGTCAGTTACACGTTGTAGAGTTCTTGGTGGGAAAGGAACATGTTTTATAAAAACTCTGAAACATTTTTTGTTGTTTATTTGTTTTTATTAGGAACCTGCTTAGAACTGACATGAATTGTCTAGTGGAATGAGCGCTTGCTCTACCACTTGGACAAAGTCTGAGCAGTTTGACAGCAGCTGCCACACTCAGATGCTCACTAGATCTTTTTATTATGGCTTTGAAAATATGGCCGTACATTAAAATTAGGCATCCACCTTAAATTTACTTTATTGTATAATTTTAATCATATTAATGCTCTTCCTCCTCCTCCTAAAGAAATGTTTTAAATGGTAAACACTTGACATTTTAATTTCTTTTTTATTGTTGTTACCAGAATGGTTTTGTTTAATCATTTTATTAGGGGCACATACAACTCTTATCACAATCCATACATACATCAGTTGTGTAAAGCGCATTTGTTCATTCCTTGCCCTCATCTTTCTCAAAACACTTGCTCTCCACCTAAGCCCTGGCCACAGCTTGTTACCAGAGTCTGAAGAGAAACAGAGACTTCAGAGGGGCTATAACCCAAGTAACACGGCTTCTCTGGTGCCTTATGGCACCGTGCCCTCATTTTCCACTCTGTAGGTATCATTTTGCAGTTAACTATAGATCATAAGGCAACATTTTTAAATGAAAATGTTTCTAATTGAAAATTTACCTACTACTGAGATAAAATAGCTTTGCATTACTTGGTTTCATGTATTACACCTATAATAGAATCACAATTGATCATCATACTTTATCTATCCATGCCAAAATTATGATTATATAAATTCTTTATTTTAGAACTACAGTTGAGTAGAAAAATATTATTTTAAAATAATGTTGAGACATTTATTCTCAATCATTGCTGAATTTTAATGGGCTCTAGTACATAATATGCAAATTTATAAGTGGCATAGCAGTTACCAGTTGGGCTGTGAACCACAAGGTCAGCAGTTCGAACCACCAGCCACTCCTTGGGAGAAAGGTGAGGCTTTCTAGTCCCTCAAATTGTTACAGTGTCGGAAACCCACAGGGCCATTTCATCCTGTAGTACAGGGTCACGATGAGTCAGAATCAATGCGACAGCAATCAGCTTAGATTTGGTTAGACTCTTGGGTGAATGGAACTTGCCATTTAAAAAAAAAAGAAGCGAGAGGGTCATTTAGTCATTTATATCTGTGGGCCCTGAAATATTACTTGGACACTTTTAGTATAAAAGAAAATCTGTGATTCATGTGATTCAATGCTATTATTTAGAGTCATTATTCCTGGCCTGCACTGCCATTTGGTAAATATTTTAGAAATGTATCATAAGTCTGGCCAGTAAAACCACTCAAAGAATGCACTCAATATGCTGAATACTTATTCTGCAGAAGATTAAAAGAAG